CCCCTCACGGGCCCCATTGTCTATCTTTGCGATGTGAAATGACTTAACTCCATTGTTGCTTGTGGAGAACCAGTCAGTAAACCTATGGTATCTCCACAGATTTTTATAAAGTGTTTCGTCACTAACAAACATGAACTTGTATYAGCACCAACACATTCACAGTACGTCTTCTTTGTGCATGTACGCACAGACTCATGCACACACATACACAAACAGGGATAAAAGAAAACTCTGTCTTGGGTCTACTCCTACTGCTTCAGTCTTGTCCTCTCCCCCTCCTTTTCTGTACCTCGCTCCCATTCTTGAAAGAGAAGACTTGCTCTGAACTCGGGGCTTTGATATGGTAATGTAATGGTGGTGGTGGAGGAGGAGGGGAGGTGGGGACTGGGGGAGGGGAGGTGAATTCCTTTGAGTGCTGCAGTTGGTTAGATTGTTTTCATTGTAAAAGAAATGTTCTGCGCAAATGTCAGTACCCAACCTCCCCCTGCTGCCATCACCCCAAAACACTGTTTTACTGGTTTCTGTGTTGTCTTAAGCTTTCAAATTAAACATGACCTCTAGGTGCATAATTTTTAATTGTTTTTATTTGAATAAAGAAGTACTCTAAAAAGAAGTTAAGTTACTCAAGTCGGGACTGAAAATATGTTTTTTAATATATTCTCAAGGGTATTTCTAAAAATACTTTTGGTGCAATGGGCAGCTTGTGTTCAACTCACAAAACCCAAACACTTTTATTATTACAAGTTTTGCCTGTAGTTTGGGTATGTTTTTTTTTTTTTTCACTTGTTAGCAGTACCTGTCATGCATCCTCTCCTGCCACCTTTAAGTCCTTGTTTCAAGCTTGAGTTTTCCTAGTTTATTTTTGGAAGGGTTTTAAGTTAATATAAAAAATAATGTCCCAACGGATAGTTTAGGTGGATACAGCAAAGTAATTGCACCCCCCTCCCCCTTTTGAACAATTTCACAGCCATCATCCTTCTCATCTTAGTAACCTGTTTGATAAACAAATAAATCTGGAATAATGCTACAAGTAGATGCTGTTTTGCATACTTTAAATAGAAAACACACTTGCTGCACATTAACTACATGACTGTAGAGTACAGTGATGAACTGCAGCGTGTATGCCACTAGCAGGGTGAATGGAGAAAAAGTCCAGCCTATATAAAAATGATGTACTTTTTAGTTGACCCTTTAAAATTCAAGTCTTATGGTAACCCTACTCCCTTGAATAAATTCAAAAGTGCAGACCAGTCAAAAAAGTGCAAGAATTTGCATTTTACACTATTGGATCTTAAGAAGGTTCTAAGTAGAGC